CTTAACCACTGAGCCACATCCCCAGCCCTTTTTTTAAGACAGGGTCTCACTAAGTTGCTGAGGCTGCCTTGAACTTGTGATCCTCCTGCCTCAGCCTCCCTAGTTGCTGGGATTTCAGGCATGCACCATGGGGCCTTTGGCTTTCTAGTTTTAAAGACAGGGGATGGCAGAACATGAGTACCTAGTGATGGAATAACCTGAGTATAGAGGGAAGCTGGTAGTTTCCAGGTGGGGGTAACTCCCTGAATGAAGGGCTGGAGGGAGTGAGAGATTGGCATTCAGAAGACAAGTGGCTTGGCTGGAGCAGGAACTGTTGTGCCACTGTGAGGAGGGAGGATGGAGATGAAGCCAGGAGGAGGTGAGCAGGTAGGGCTTGTGGTGGAGGTGCCCGTGTGCCTGTTTTCCCAACAGACTAAGAGACAGGGCTGTGAGTGCAGGGGAGGCTGGAGGAGAGAGGAAGGGCAGAGCAGCCTGGGGGAGCTGGGTGACCGTGTTGCTGGGGCTGGCAGGAGGTCATAGAGCATCCTTGAGGGCCCTTTTGAAGCTTGCAGCTGCAAGTTGAAAATGCAAGGAAGCTGGGTGCAGTGGCACACACCTATGATCCCAGTGACTCAGAGGCTGAGGCAGGAGGATCCCAAGTTCAAGGCCATCCTCAGCAACTTAGTGAAATCCTGTCTCAAAATAAAACACAGTGATTGAGGATGCAGATCAGTGTTAGTATGCACCTGAGTTCAATGCCCAGTACGAGAGAGAGAGAGAGAGAGAGAGAGAGAGAGAGAGAGAGAGAGAAAATGCCAGGAGACAACCTGCATTGTGGATTTCTCCAGAAATGCTCTGTTGCTGGTGTAGGCATTGGAGATAAAGAATTGGGTCTAGGTGGACTTGGGATTTAGCTAAGGAGGGAGTCAAAGGAAGGAGGGAGAAGGGGTGAAGGATTTGAGGTTATCGGCAAGGGAGGGGTAATAACGGGCTCTCATCACACATACCCAAGATTCCTCTAGACAGGGAAGGCGCTGGGAATGAGGGCTTGGGATCATCAGCAGATAGGCGTAGGGTTCAGATGAGATTGGCCAGCAAGAGCACGAGGAGTTACAGCAGGGACAGCATTCAAACCCCGATAGTCAGCTTCTCAGCAGTGGGCCTTTGGAAGGACAGAGGAGAATGGGGAAACCAGGAGAGGTGGTGCCATGGAAACCAAGAGACAGGAGAGGGGTGGCAACCAGGTCCCCCACTTCTGAGGAGTCACAGGAGGTTGAGATTAATTCAGAGGTCACTGGTGACCTAGGAGAGGACATCTGCAGACAGGTGTGTGTCTCAGGGAGAGACAGGGAAGGGATAGAGTGGAAACAGTGAGGGGTAGGAAGGGAGTGAAAGTGTTGAAGCCCACGTGAACTTGACCTGGGCCTGGAGAAATTAGAAACTGGCTAATTTTCTAAGAGGCTGAAGGGAAAAGAAATCCTGGCTTGAACTTGGTGGGTATAGTAAACAAGCACATGGCTTCCTCAGGGTCAAGAGCAGTGTGTGAGAAAGCCCTCTGGATCTGGAGAGCGGACAGGTTAAGAGGGGTCAGGGAACAGGCTGGGAGTGAGGACCATGTGCTGTGGAAACTTGGGCAGGTGAGCAGCTGTCAGTTGCCTTGGGTATCACAGACATTTCCTTCTCCCTAGCAAACTAGATGGTGCACTGACAACACTGGCAGAGTGCAGGAGGGGCAGGGCAGGAGATCTGGGAAGGTCAAAGTCAGGGTCAAGTTCAGGTTTCCAAACAGAAACCACTTTGGAAGGTTTTGGTGCAGTTGAAACCAGGATGGATGGGGGGATGCTTACACTTATGCACAATGTTAAAAGGCTTCTCTCTCTCTCTCTCTCTCTCTCTCTCTCTCTCTCTCTCACACACACACACACACACACACACACACACACACACACACAGTATCTGAAAGACCCTGTGCTATAGATACATGTAAGGCCATGTGAATGAAAGAAAGAAAGGTGGATAAACATGAATGTTTGAAATTTAGAAAATCTAGGGCCAGGCTCAAATAAGACCAGTGAAAATATCTTCAGATGAGTTTTGGAGCCAGGATGTCATTAACAGAGAAAGTGCGTGTTCTGAGACAGCCCTGGGAGCTGGCCGTGGCAGCTGATCATTCTTAACCTATGCAGCATCAAGTGAGTTCTGCCACTTTTTAAGAGTTCGTGTGGTGGTCAGTCCTTTTTGTAGAGTGACAGTGGCTCCCAACCTAGTGGCCCCTGCACAGACTCCTGTGTCTATTTAGATCTTGTTCTTCTCCAAGTTTTTTGCCACACTGTCAACACTGGTCAAGGCAGGAGGCTGGCCTCCTCTTTCCTTCCCTTCTCTGGTGAGTCAGGCTCAGTTGGTGAGCCCTTATGCATCTGTTCCCTCCTTTCAAATGGAACGTCTGCTCAGCTCCGGGGTAAGGACAACAGTGGAGGAAGGGTCCACTGTTGAACAGTGGAGGAAGGGCTGGTGCCACCACATTGCAAAGCCAGTATCCCTAGAGGTGGCTTGCAGAAGTCAACAAGAAGGAGCTGGTTGCTTCTGAAGTGGGTGAGACATGGGACTCTCTGCAGTCCCAGACCACAGCTGCTGTCCCCATGTCCTGCAGGCTATGCGCATAATGGTCACAGCACTGATGTGGCTGTGCTGACTGTCCATCTGTCCCATGACTTCATGCTTAACTTGTGCAAATGGAAGCCAGAAGCTAAGCCCTAGAAGGTGTGTGCTTTTTGCTGGTTGGGATTTCCAACGGAAAGCCCAGCAAGGGGCTTCCTGTTTATGCATTAGGTGCGGGAGCGCTCATTATTGGGTGATGAACAAAAAGCCAGGCAAGGCAGCTAGAGCCAGATGAGAAGGAGAAAAGCCTCTCTGGCTCTGACACAGCAGGCAGAGGGCTGCCGTTCATTTCTCCGGGTCTGATTTGCATCAAGGTTGCTAAGAAAGCTTCCTACCCGGCTCTGCTTATGTACTCGCTTCAAGGAGCCAATATTCAAATACTTTCTCATCTTCTCGAAGTAAAATCCACTCTGCGGCTGAGGCTACTACCAGGTGCGCTCAGTGGGCATCCTTTCCTCTTGTGGTCCACCTGCCTTTCCCAACCTACCCACTTCTGGGTAGGCTGGAAAAGGCACATGCAGTCTAGAAGCATCCAGTGCCTAGGAAGTGAGAAGTGAGGAGGGGTGGCCTTTCCACTTCTTGGGAAAGCTGCATGTTTCAGAGAATGCAACTTCCTCTTACCTGTCATCCTGAGAGGCCTTGAGGCTGCTTCCCCGCATTATCGGTGCCCCTGCCCATGGGGAATCACGGCCATGCTGGGCCGTTTGTCTTGGGGGCAATAAAAACTGCTTTACCTTGGAGTTGACAACTTAGGCAGCAGCAGTGTTTATCCAGCCACTGCCCACTGTGTACAGGTCGTATTTCTAACTTTTATTTATAAGTTCACTCTGGGCTACTTGAGTGCAGTTCTCATAGAAATACATGCCAGCACCCACAGAGCCGTTTAACTTGGATTAAAGTCAGTTGTCAGATAGTCAGAGGGGCAGGTCTAGGTCAAGGTTTAAACTGAAGAAAGGTGGGGAGGACAAGCCCGGATGGGGAGCCTCATCACCCGCCCTCTGCACGAGCACAGTCTGTCACCCACATTCACGAATATATTCATCCATGATGCCTTTCCTCCTCCCCCACCCCATAGTCCAGCCCCAACCACCTTGTTTGTCCTCCCTTTCAAACAGACCCCCAGATCTAACCACTGTTTCCCTCTGCCAGCTTCTCTCCTGGCCCAGTGACCATCCTCCCTTAACCTCCCTGTTTCTGCTCTGCCCTCAGGACAGCCAGCATAAACCCTTCCACATGCACACTGGATCCATTCCCTCCATGAGGACAATACAAAGTGCCTGTCCCCCTCTCCCACCTCCTCGCCTGGACAATTCCACTTACCTCCTGCAACTCCATGAAGATGAAGAGGCAGCAGACTCTGGGGTACACCTGCTGGGTTCTGGATTGGCCTGGTTTCCCTTTGGCCCACCCAGTCTCTCTAAGCCACCGGGTTCCTCAGCCTACCCTAGGTAGCACCAGTCTTGGGAATGGGTTGAACCTTGACCTTTATTTTAGGAGTAAAAAGAAATAGTACCTTCTGCTCTTGCGGGGGCACTCGGGGAGCACTGTTGTTCTCAACTATGCCCCGCAGGTCATAATTACAGTGATTCATCTCCTCTTGCCTCCTTCTCCCTAATTGTGAATGGCAGTCCCATTCCCGCCCCTGGGTCGGTTTAGCTCCACTGTGTGCTGGGCCTCTGACTCTTCCGCCTTAGTCACCCTCCCTACATCTTGCCACACCTTCCCCGGTCCCTCTCTTCCTTCTTGGTGTGAGCTGACATCCTCCTGAGCAGCTCTTCTGGTCTACAGAAGGCACTGACCCCTGACCCCTGCTGCAAAGCCACCGGCTATTTGGGAACTGGAAGAGCCCTGTGCCCTCCCTCACCTCTACCTCTACCTTCACTCTTCCCCGTCCTCACATCCAGCCTTCCGTCTTCTAGCTGCTCGCTCTGCTCCGCCATGGCAGGGCGAAGCCTCCTGTGTCCGAGTGTCCTCTCAGGCGGCACCGGCCCTGGCAGCCTCCTCTCGCGTCCCCTTGCTTACAGTCTCCAGCCTCCAGTCTGGGTGACAGGAGTACCTCGCCAAGACAATCGGAATTAATTTTGCAAGTAAAATTTCATCAGACGACCTATCAAGCGCTCCACTAAATCAAGACATATTATGTCTCACGTGTGCCTGAGCCCATTCATCACGTAAGTCAGCCTCCGAAACACCAGCCAGGCCAGGGCCACAGAGGAGTAACATTCTCGTCTGAAGGCAGAAGAGGTCTTTTTATTCCTAGATTTGCCCCTCAGAGGCACTTCTCTCTCCTCCCCCACCCCCTCCCTCTCTCTCTTCTCTTTTGCTGGTGAATACATCAGAAGGCATTGGCCATGGTACTTGGAGTCAGACTCAGTGGACCTGAAGCAGAATCCCTGTTTTGACACTTATCAGCTGTGTGACATTGAGAAGTTACTTAAACCTGTCTGAGCCTCAGTTTTCTTTTTCTTTTTTTAAATTCATTTTTACATTGACTTTTTAAAAAAAATCTTTGTTTTATTTATTTATTTATTTATTTAAACGTGGTGCTGAGGATTGAATCCAGTGCCTCACACATGCTATGTAAGCGCTCTACCACTGAGTCACAACCCTAGCCCAGCCTCAGTTTTCTGTGTCAAATGAAAATAATATTTACCTTTGAGGGCTCTTCTGAGATTAAATGAGATAAGCTAACATGAAGCGTGTTTCAGTAGGTTCTTTATAAATGTTAGTTCCTTTCCCCTGCATGAAGTAAGCTAAAAACTCCATGGAGGTCTTCAGTTCACAGTCATGTTGGTGTAGCCGCATTCGGACACACGTAAATGCTAGGGAATTAACAAATGAGTGGATTAGATATAAGTAGTTGCATGTGTTTAGCCAACAGAGTGGGTTCAGGGGACATTTTGGGCCCACAGAGAAAGACATAAAGAAAGTTTTAGACTTCCAGGCTGGTATGGCCTCTCTCCATCTCATTCTTTTTCTTTTCTTTTTTTTTTTTTAATATTGTTTTAGTTGTAGTTGGACACTACACCTTTATTTTTATTTACCTATTTTATGTGGTGCTGAGGAACTAACCCAGTGTCTCATACGTGTGAGGCAAGCCCTCTGCCGCTGAGCCGCAACCCAAGCTGCTCTACCTCTGATTCTTTGTCTTGCTCCAGCTTGACAGTGAGTGGTTTGACCAAGACTCCTGAGATCCTTGAGAGGCCTCCCCATAGTGACATGAGGGGCCCTCATTTTTTTTACTTTGTTCCTTCTTCCTGTCACTTCTTCAGACAGTAGCTGACTAGAGCCATTTAGGACCAGGCAAGGGAAGATAGAAAGCCTTCACGCTTATCAGCTGGGATGGCAGCTGGGGATGCAGACAAGGACTCGCGGAGAACTCTGGGAGTGTGGCCTCCATGGCGAAGCATGGGCCCCCTAGGCTAGGTGATGGCAGTACTTTCCTATATGCAGCCTCCTGAGAGCTGGGGAAGCCAGGTCCTCAGCCCCCAGGACTAACTCTGGAGGGAGCCCAGATGCCTGAGCTCTTCTCCTTCCTTGGCCCTGGATAAAGGAGTCACATGGGCCCAGCACCCTGGTCACAGCCCTCCTTCCTGGGTGCTTGCCTGTGCTGGACCCTGAGCAGGCAGAATCCACTCCTGCCCACCATGGACACCTTGTCCTGACTGGTCAAGGTGCTTACTTATGCTATAATTTGTATTTTATCTGGTATTTCAGCAGATTGAAGCTTACTCCTTTAAGCATCCAAACGTAAAACCAATATTTGACTGCTGTGATGAAATATTTCTGTCTAAAAGGATGTAAGAAGAGTATGATTGTTATGCACATTTCCTTAAACAGCATGCATAGAACACCATTTGATCATTTTTTTCATTACTCAGGGTCATTAATATAAACACCAGCTCCTACCCTGTACTCCAGCGAAGGTTCTCCCAGTGGCTGGCAGGATCTTCTGGGTTCTCTCCACCCTGCCATGTTGCCCAGACTGCTGAACTTCTTGAGCCCTTTATCCACTTCTCTGTTTTTCTCTCCTCTTCCCTTTCACTTGTCTCTTGCCTTTGCCAGACAGCTTGTTCTGCACTGAGTGCATATAAACTGAATCAGCATGGGAGACGGCTGGGAGAGGGGCCTGTTCAGAGGTCTTTTTGTTTCCTGCTTGATATCAGGACAGAGGTGAGTCCCCTAGGGAGGTGGTGTCATTGTGCTGCCTGTTGTGGCTGCTGCTTGCATACATGCCCAGCTTTCCAAACAGATTGTAAGTCTGTGGTAGACAAGGGACCCCACCCTGTGTTTATTACGCTCTCCATCCCATAGGCTCTGTGTGTAGCTCATGTACGCACGCTGAACATACCGATGAAATCTATCCAGTAATGAGATAGGGGATTAAATTGAATATGAAGTTGTGGAACCACCAGAAAGAAAGTTTCCACCATGCACCTAAAAGAGACAGTATGACAGTAAAGTCAGTCAAATTGGGGTTCTGGTTCCAGATCCTCCATTCCACCAGTTGGCTAATATTAGATTTTTCCACGCCTCGGTTTCCTCACCTTATAAAATGGGATAAATTATAGTAGCTACCTGATAGGGTTGTGAGGCTTTAATGAGATCATGGCTGTTAAAATTGCTTTGCACAATACCTGGCACATAATCAGTGCTCACAGATGATAATCACAATCAAAAAAGCATAGCTATTTGACTTAGCAAGAGTGGTAGAGACGCTATGAATTCTGGGGGATTTCATTTGCCCCTCCCCCCTGAGGATTTCTTTCCCTTCCTTACCCCCCTTCCACACTGCTGGGAATATCTTTATTTGGCCTCAGCTCTCAATGGATATTAATGTGGAAATGTTAGGGCTGGAGATTTCCACAGCCTTTGAATAATAGACATTTGGAAAATTAAATATTTCTGTCAAGTGTGCCATAAATCTTGGCTGTTTAGGAAGGTGAGAAATTAAAATTGCAAAACAGCTAGGGAGGGAGGGAGCCAGTCCCTCCCTCTGTGTGGTCCCAGGTGGGGAGGGAGATGCCGAGTGAAGTGGGTGGTGAGCAGTAATGTCACAGCTGAGGGGCATCTAGGGACAGGTTGGCTGCTGTGGGTCATCAGCATGGGAGACTTTGAAGTCCAGCCAGTTTTTTTTTTTTTTATTTCCCCCAGTGCTGGGGATCAAACCAGGGCCTTGTGTATGTTAGGTAAGTGCTCTACCACTGGGCTGCACCCCCAGCCCTCCAGTCAATTTTTTTGGGGGTACTAGGGATTGAACTCAGGGGCATTTAACCAGTAAGCCACATCCCCAGCCCCATTTTGTATTTTTTATTTAGGTTCAAGGTGTCATTGAATTGCTTAGTGCCAGGGTAAGTTGCTGAGGCTGGCTCTGAACTCGAGATCCTCCTGTCTCAGCCTCCCCAGTCACTGGGATTACAGGTGTGCGACACTGTGCACCATCCCTCCAGTCAGTTTTGATGAAGGTTCTTTATGGTTAAGCCTGCATCCCTGCATCCCTGTTGTCCCTTCTGTCCCTCAGGCCTGGCCTTTCTTGACACATGCCCACCTGCAAGGCCCTGCTTTTCCCCACCTCAGAGGAAGCAGTCTGGTGCCTGCCCTGGTGGTCGTCTTTCCAATGCAGGGGGCAGTGGGGAGCTATTCTGGGACTCTCCAGAATACTCAGTAGGCATCCCAGCAACGGTTCTCAGGTTACACAGGGGGCAGCCCTTGTATCCCAGTCCACAAGGGTAGAGTAAAGGGAGGGACAGGATTCTGTCTTCCAGGGAGAATGACCACCCCACATCGCCTTTCTCTCCTCCACAAGCCCCAAGGTGAGGGAGTTACCTGTCACCTGCAGTCTTCTCTGTGTTGCTCTTTCCCACCTGGGTCAGATGGTGACTCGCACTCATTGCACATGTACATCCAGTGACTAGCATAGGATTTGGTGGCACATGATTTGGTCACCAGTTCTTTGTGACTCACTTCAAAAGGGCTACAAATAAACCAAAGCATATCTAGGGAAAACAGCCAGGGTGGTGAAGGGCCTCGGAACCATGCCATGTTCTTCCTTTCATCACTCATTTACTCCATGATTATGACTAAGTGATTAGAATGTGCCAGATGTGCTTGATACAGAGGAGACGCAAATACTAAAGGGAAGAGTCTGGCCACCCTGTGCCAGGCACTGTGCTAAATACTTTGAATACATTAATTCTTTTAATCCTACCAGCATTAAGATATTATTATCCATTTTTAATAAGGAAACTGTGATTCAGAGAAATTAAAATGCCATCCCAGAGCTAAGAATCAAATTGACATCTGACTAACCCCCAAACCAAAACTAAGGAGCTCACTGTCTATAGGAGGAGAATAGGAGTATATTTAGGGCTGCTATGGTTTGGGTATAGTTTGTCCCGAAAGGTACATAAGCTGGAATTTTGATCTCCAATTTAATATCGAGAGGTAGTAGACCTTTAAGAGATTGTGCCTGCATCAGGTGCAGTGGCACACACTGTAATCCCAGCCACTCAGGAGGTTAAAGGAGGAGGATTGCAAGTTTGAGGTCAGCCTGGGCAATTTGGCAAGATCCTGTCTCAAAATACAAAGTAAAAAGGGCTGGGGTATAGCTCAGGGGTACAGCATCCCTGGGCCCAATCCCCAATACCAAAAAGAAAAGGAAATGAGGGAGGAAGAAAGGAAGAAAGAGAGGGAGGTGGGGCTTAAGGGGAGCTGATGAGGGCGAGGCCACCATCATGTTGGATTTAGTTCTGCTCTCCTGGAGGTGAGTGAGAGCTGAGTTAGATCTTGAAGGACAAGACTAGTTAATTCAAGAGCAGGTGTGATAAAAGAGCCAGACTGGCCCCTCCCTGCTCTCTTATTTCCATTCTTTGTCACCAAGTGTGATTTCTTCTGCACCCGCTGCTCAGGCTCTCAGGTGGTCCTATTTCATGATGCCATTGCTATGTTGGGAAGTAGTCAGAAGGCCCTCTCCAGAGGCTGAACAGAAGGGTCTCCCTGATCTTAGAATTTCAGCCTCCAAAACTACGAGTCAAAACAATCCCCTTTTCTTTATATGTCCCCCTGCATCAGGTATTTTGTTATAACAATGGAAGACTGACCAAGATTGGGGACTAACTCAGCCTTGGATGGATGGTAAAAAACCAGGGAGGGCTTCCTAGAGGAGACCAGGTCTGAGCTGAATATGGGAGGATGTGTAGGGCCAGCCAGGGGAAGAAAGGGAGCTAGGATATTGGGGACAGGGAAGAGTTTACACAAACACTCAGAAGTGTGCGAGGTCTTTTGTTTAAGTCAAGGTAATCGGGCTGGAGCCAGGGTGCAAGAGGAGAGAGAAGAAGGTGATAACAATCAGGTCACAGAGAGTCTCGAATACCAGACTTATACAAAAGGGAACAGGTTGACATCCTCTGGTGATGGTAGTGTGGGGCATGATAGGAGGCAGACACATCTGTTTCCAGGTGCCCTGGAACCCCAGCTTTTCTAGGCTGTAAAGAACAACTTCTGCCATCTGGATGAACCCTGTGCCCAAGAACAAACTTGAAAAAGGAGATTAACACAATCCCTGGGAAGAAAGCAGGATGGAGAGCAACTTTAACTTTCTGGTTTATAAAATGCAAACTTGGAAAACTGAGTACCCAAGGCTGGATTCTGTCTTGGGCTCTGTTAGAAAGAGAAAGCAACAGCTGTGGTCTTGCGGTTATGGGTGGAATGGAGGGGTTTGTTTATTATAGGGCTGGCTGCCTCCTTCAGTTCATCAACCGGAACACTTCCAGAACCTGTCCTTTGGTCCCCCCTCCATGCCAGGAAATCAAGTGGCGGCTCTGAATATCCCTCCACCCTTCCCTGGTGGCTGGGGAAGTACACAGCTCATGTTCAGACAGCTCACGAATCCCTAGGGCTTTCTCTCTGCTGTTTGTGCCAGTTCTGGCATCTATCAGTCCTTGGGGTCGGTTATATATCCCAGGCTGCTCTGAGCACAGCCAGGATTCAGTCTGCCTCCCCACTGGTGACCAAGGACTGGCACGTTATCTATCCATCTCAGAGTTGGCTCTCTTGTGGTGTCTGGGCACTTAATACAACCACCCTGAGAGCCTTTTAAAGGCTGGGGATCCTCAGAGAGTGTGCAATGGAAAAGCTGGGGTCGGGGGAGGTGATGCCCAAGAGAATGGGGTTGCCGGTCTGAGGAAGGTCTGCAGGGCCTGGGCGTGCTGGCGCGGAGGCGAGCCCTGGAGCAGCAGCCAGCTCCATCTCCCCACGTGTGCTCTAGGCCTTCGTTACTCTGGCAACTCGCCCCGCTCAGACGGCACCAGGCAGCTGAATCCAGCCCCTTGTTACGGGGGAAAATGCTCTCATTGAAGCGCCGGAGCGGATCTTCTGCCTTTTACTGCAAGCGGCGCCACCGGCTTCCATTTGTAAACTTATTAGTGTGCGCGCTCGCAGAGAGGGCCCAGGAATCCCGGCGGCCATGCAGGGGCCGGGAGGAGGCGACGGCAGCCGCATACTAATCAGGGGTCCGCTCTGCTACCCCCTCCCCCCAGCTCCCCAGCCTCAGCCTTGACCTCGCTCGGGCCTGCCCGGCGGCCCGACGTTCCTCTAGGAATGGGGTCGAAGCGCACGGGAAGGCTCTTAGGACCTGGAGAGGAGACTGTGCCTCCTGGGGGAGCACGCCCTCCCGCTACGGGGACGGGGGCGGCTCCCTGCCTCTCCCCGGGGTGCCCTTGCCCCCGGGCTTCCCGCAGCCGGGGCAGTCGGGGCTGGCGGCGGCCGCGGCCCCTCGCGGCCCCTGAGCGCCGAGGCCGCCCGCCGGGAATGCTAATGCGCCCGCTCCTCCGCGCGCCGCTGTTCTAAAGGGCAGCCGCCGCCGCCGGAGCAGGTAATTAGCTGGACAGATGGACCGGGCCCGACGCACCGCGCCCTGCTAGCCGTCTCGGTCCTCGAGGCGCCCGAGTGGGCTGACGAGCAGCGCGTGGGCCTTCCGGAAGCGGGCTGATTGGACCCGGCTCAGGACTCCGCACAAGGGCAGCTCTTTGTTTACAGCTCCTCTTTCCTCCCCTCTCCGCTTCCTTTTCGCCCACCGCCTCCCTTTTCCGGTTATCTGCTTCGCCTGGGGGCGAGGGTCCTGTCCAATCGCCCACCTCCCAGCCCCGCCTCTCGCACTTCCGTTGGGGACCCTGTGCCGGTGAGTCTGTCGCACCCACGTCAGGGCCCAGGCAGCGCTACCCGGGCAGCGTGGGAGGACGGGCTGCGGAGCCCACGTCATCCTGGCCCTGGGGAGTGCTGTGTCCTCCCTCCCGCCAGCGAGCCGAGGTGCCCCGTCCGCCGCCACGCGGGGCATGCCTGCCATGTCGCCACCAGCTGCCGACCTCATTAGGGCTCCGATCATGGAGGAGCGGGTGGTTAAAGGACCATAAGAACCAAGCTAAAGTGGCCGCAAAGATATTGACAGCCTCCCTGGAAACCCACTTTCCAATGAGCTGCTGCACCTCCTCCTCCTTTAATTAGCAGGAGGGAGCTGGACAAGTTGTTACAACTGCAGGGAAAACGATAAAAGATGGCTTTGTATTAGTGTGGCAAATTTTATTAAACCGAGAGAAAGGGTAACTGAAACATGACAGCCGGGTGTGTAGTGCCTCCTGAATTTGTAATAACCCAATCTTGTTCTGAATCATCCCTGCGTTGGCAAACGGAATATAAAGCATTTAACAGATCCAGTATAGTAAGAGGTACAACAGAGAGCCTCGGAGCAGGGAGGGACAGGTGGGAGATCGCTCCAGCATGGGGCAGATCTCAAGAGTTAATGAGACTGGAGCAGAAACACGGAGTATGGCCTAAGGCTCTGTCTCATTAATTATTCCTGCCATTATGGCTCCTTTCTACAACTCTTTCCACTTATAATTCAGAGGTGATATCTGGCCACATGAGAAAACTTAACTAATAGCACATTAGTTGGAAGGGATGGACGAAGCCGTTTCCTACAGGGAGTAAAAAGCAAGACAGGATGTCTGAGAGAAAGTTGAGACAGCGTGGTCAGTCTGTGCTTGGAGTGTGACTTTGTTACTTAAACTGAGAAGGAAAATGACGGTTTACTATGCATTAGCCCTGTTGCATGTAAGAGTCCTTATTTCTATGATAAGGATCTGAGCCAGGCCCACAGAGGTTAAGTAAATGGCAGCCTGGATTTCTACGTGGGTCCTTCAGACTCCAAAGCCTATTCTTTGCCTGTTACCCTAGGCTTCAGATTTTATTTGACAAATGAGAAGGGGAAAAAGAAAAAAGCTTCGTTTGCAGAGGCTGTTTAGTAAGAGATTGTAGTTGTTAAGCTGCAAAGGATTTCAAGAGATGTTCTGATCTAGGTAATATTTTTCGATTTTTTTTATTTTTCAGAGGAACTAACTGCCATCCAGTTAAGCATCCTGTCCAGGGGGTTCCAGCCCTCAAATTTCTTCCTACTTCATAAGGCCTGAGATGTTAGATAAGTCCATGCTGGTATTAAAACAGGGGTGATTTAAGATGATTGCAAGCTAATCATGGACTACGTCATGCTAGCGTATTATGATTTGGACTCTCCAGAGTCGGAATAGAGAAGATGTTTAGCATATGCATAACTAAGTCTTCCAACAACTTGCAAAACCATTTTTGATTTTAGGTTCACTTTTCTGAATATGAGGTAGGATCAATCACTGGCTTCATAACTGCTTGAGCAGTTAATGAGTTGATGTCCACTAACAGAGTTTATAGGGACATGTCACAGGACTGCCCTTATTCTTTGGCATTTTTGATGTGTTGACTATTGGAATTAAGACTCAGAAAGCTCTCAGCAGGATGGCAGCAGAGTTGGGAGGTGATTTAAGGGTTTGCAACAGACACGTGGACACCAGTTGGAGGCCTGGAGTGGCAGGACT